TCTCAACAAATAACTCGACTTCCATCTCAATATGCAACGCATTTTTATTATCCCATTTTTAAAGGCTTTTTATCAATTGCAATTGCATCAACATTTAGTTTATTCGCATATCGAAATGTACGTCGAGTTATTCGTCGACAAATTCCAATTGAACGTCGTCGATTTGATCAACAAATAACAGCTATGGTTTTAACTCGTGTTATAGTATATGTAGTTTTGTCTTTACCGTATACAATCTATCGTGTATATGCGATTAATCTTGATTCAAAACAAATTGATGTTTTACGCTCAGCAATTGAACGATTAATTCAAACAATTTTCTATTCAATTGCTACTGCAATCTATGCGGTATGATCTTCATTTGTACATGTTTGAATATTTCATAGATTAATGTTCTTCTTGTTTTTTCTTTCTATATTTTTAGATTAATTTTTATTTATTTTTAATAATATCACCTCGATACCGTCGTCAAGTCAAATATGTTCTCAAAAAGAAATATTGGTATTCAATCAAAGATTGGTTTTGTCTAAGAAGTAATCAAATTCAACCTGAATTAGCAACTTCATCGAATGATGATAATCTATTCGAATAAAATATCTGTATTTTGATTATTCTATCTTTTTTCTCGAATTCTTTTGAAAATATGCTCCTTTATTTTACATACTTGGAATTAAACGTCAAAGTAAACTGTTATAATCGTATAATGATTATAAAATAACTTATCTACTTTTGTCATGTTTCCTTACTATAATTAGAATTTGACAAGCATATGAGATAACATCTTTCTTACACTATAAAACTGTCAAAAACGATAGAAGTTATTAACCTTTAACCCCTTGATGACGGGATTACTTCTAGAAAAGCCGACAAGAGTTTTGACACTCTAACCGATTCAAAAGAAACTACATTCGAAAATAAATTTAATAAAATAGACGATAAATGGCATCAGTAGAAGATGGTAATTATAAGGAAAGAACAGAACTGATGGATACAAAGTGCAAAAAGAAAAAACCATGAACGGGGTTACAACAAGAATGATACTATAATAGATTGGCGATGTATATACTAGAGCAGATCGTAAAAATATCGTAAGAAGTATGTGCAAATCAATTATAAGTATTTTTTGACGTTTAGAGCTGCTGATTTTCACCAAACGGTGCGTCTTGAAATTCTCTACAAAATCATATTTGATCTCATATTTATCGAATGTTAGGAAGAAGCATAAAATACAAAATACTGAGAATACAAGATGGACCTCATTTTTAAAAGCAGAAAACGTAATCTGCGTGAATACTTTTCTATATGTTGTTTTAATCATCTAGCATATATACTCCAAATAAAACTATATCATACGATGCAGGGTAAAGAGCTCTATAAGATGCATTATTAAATTTAACTTATATATTTACTTTTTGTTTTCAAAATAGTGCATAGTTGTTTTTCCGAGTTTCGAAGAATAAACACGTTTTCATCACCTACGCTTTTGCATAATTTATAAACAATGGATGTGTTCGCATAGAATGACTTGTTATGCAAACTGTAGAGCTTTTCAACATGCATCTTGCGAATTATAGAGATTTATTTTTCTAGAAGACATGGGGTAGAATAAAGATGAGATTAGAATAACAAAGTTCAAATGTCTATACTAAGAGATCTCTTTTCTAAACTAGAGAAATAGTCGTAAATCGTTTCGAAAGTAAAAAGTACATGCACAAACTAATATTAATGATGGATTTTGTACAACTTTTCACGGTGCACTTTTTTATGTGTTTTACTCATAAAAAACGCACAGATAAAAATACTGATCGTTTGTAAAAACAGTTCTTAGCTTTCAAAGTTAAGTACATCTTATATTCTCATTATTTTGCATTTTATGCTTCTTCATAACATTCGATAAATATGAGATCAAATATGATTTTGTAGAGAATTTCAAGACGCATCGTTTGGTGAAAATCAGCAGCTCTAAACGTCAAAATGAAAATAAGTTATAAGCAAAATACTGAGAGAGCCATTCTTTATGACTCACCCGTTATCTAACAATAGATAATGATGGATATTGACTATATTCATCGAGAGGATAGATTTTATAATGAATTGGTTTAACAATTAAATGACAAAGAGATTCATCATCTTCATATGGACAATTACTAATTCCATCACATAATCCTTCCAATGAAATACATTACTAGTCACTATAATAATGGAATCTTGTTGTAGGATTGAGGGTGAGGGTGTGAGGGTGTTAAAGCTTTTTTCATACATTGGAGAATAATCCAGTACTTTGAATTTCTTTGTATTACAATGATCGATCGTAACATTTAAAAGTGAACAATATTCAAGTTGTTCAGAGAGGTTTTCGACCACTTGCCAAAATATTGAAAATTAATCAGGCAAGTTATGCACTGTAAGCATTTATTACAAGTATAATAATTTACTGACAAACCTATCGATATTGAAAATGCAAATGTTCTCGCCGAAGCACTGGTGATCAACAATGTAAATTTCTAATCTTTCTTCGAATGAACAATTCAAAAGATCTTTGTTTTTTTTCCTCTGGTTAGAGATAGATATCGTCCTGAGAAGTAATGTCATATGTGCAGTAGGTGGTCAAGTGTTTAGTCAAAACATTGAGGATGAAATAGATGGTTTTTCGATTCAAATTAACTTTGATGGTTAATTTTGTCTGAATATCATTATTGAATAGAGTAAGACAATGAATGTATAACTCGAACGTTTTAAAACATTAATCTGTGTGACAGGATGCTCTTAAACTTAACTTCTATCATATTAATAATGACAAATTCAAGATTCTTTTGTAAAGACAAGGATCATGTGATGCAATATAGTTGAATAGAATCTCAAACTTAGAAAATCATCTCTTTCTTTTATTTTATATAGTTGATAAAAACTTCTTTAATTAACAGAATCAAAACAGCTTGAATAGTAAACAGGAAAAAGAATTTTTGTCGATCAATGTTCAATTTATAAGTCAGGTACAGTTTTCCAAAATTCATCCCATCCAATTCCTTCATGAGTCCAATTCTTTTCATTAAATGGAAACATCACATCCATAGTCATTTGAGCAATTTTCAGATATGGAATTTTTTCTTTGTCTTCTGCCGAATCGAATTTTTCTGCATAAACCAATGCTCGAATCGATTTCATTACATGTTCATCTGGATGTGTCAAAGATTTTTCAATTAAAGGTAACCATGGATTGTGAGTGTCGGAATATAAATGTTCTTTTGACACTTGATAATCATNAATGTATCATGGAACAAATCAAATTTCCTACCAGTAGATGCAACTTATCACGGCGGATCGAATGAGTCCATTTTCAAGTGATTTCCGTAATAAAAGCATTGTAAAACAGCGAAATTCCTCAAAAAATCATGATTTTTATACATATAAAAAAAAACCATCTTTTCTCATGTTTTTACCTACTAAAAGGCTTGTAAAATTTTTTTCATATATAGGGTTTTGTAGAGCTCGTCGAGCTCTATCGATCTACGTAAAAAAATTAGCAAAAAAAAATTTACTCGATTTTTGAATTTGGTGCACCTTACATATAACAAACGATTAATTGTAAATTTTACCTTATTTTCTGATGAGAAATTTCTATAAAAAATGTTTACAATCTGCGATTAGGTGAAAATTATCATCTATTGAAGAAACTTCATACATTATGGTACGATCATATCATTATGTATAAATATAGGTAATGTGTAGAACCAATTTTGTCGTTCCATCATAATATATGCACTAATGACGATCCAATGTTTTTCATTAAGTCAATATAATGCACGAAATAGAATAACCAAAGATTCGAAATTATCAATCTCGTCTTTCTGATAACATTTGAATGAAAAGAAAAATTGAAATTTACGAAGGTATTAAATTCAAGTTGAGTTTATATCGATTGAAGCTCTTAACAACAAAATAAAACTTCGTACAAACATGTCGAAGATTACGGAGAATGGTTGGCGTATCAAATTCGACAGGCAATAACTTTAGAAGAGATAGATGCGATTTTCTTATGGATTTTTCTCTAGAATGACCAATATTTCGTAAATTTATTTTGATGTTTTCTTCAGTTGTCAGCGGAAAGTTAATTATTATTGTAGATTGAAAAATATGTTGTTCCGCGGAATTATCATACCAATTAACAAAATTATCAGTGAGATGAATTCTTCTTTCATTTGAATGTTAAAGAAGTTTGTTGAAGAACTGAACGAAAGTTAAGATATTTCACCAAATCAAACAAGTAAATGGATACAACTCGATCAATTTGTCACGTTGAACTACATTCGAATAAAATAGTCCATCTGGTCACCATTATTAATTGGTTTTTTATTTATCATTGCACACAAATCGGTTTCACTGGTCATTGTTGTTGGTTCAGTACTAAACATTTGATTACTTCATTCGTTCTCAATCGAGTGTTCATTAACATTCAAATATAATCGAACAGAATTTTGAAATCAGATTGCAGAAACAACTCATTTTGATTGTTTAAAACATAACTGAAAATTGTACGAATGATTGTTAAGTCAAAACCCATTATTTTACCTATAATTCATAATTTCCAAAGCAATACAAAGGTATTTGTCGAAGATTTTCTGTAATCTGTCATTTCATCGATTTAATATTACTTCCTGATTTGTTGTATTCATTGTTGAATACTTTCAATCTCTTGAGAAGTACTATTGAGTGAGATTAATAGAATATGACAATCATCAATCTGAAAATTCAATATATCAGTGTACAAAGGAAAAACTAAAATAGTATTACCATTGTAAATGACATAATCCAATGTTGAAATATTCTTGCTTTGTAAGAATATGAATAAGACAGAGAATTTTCCTTCACTAGTCTTAGCTGTTGTTCTTGGATTGTAAGAAATTGTGCAATATCTATGCTGTTACAATCGTTGTAAGTTGTTGCTCGCTATTTGGAAGTCGTTTTTTGTTTACGTTCTGGTTCGCTTAGATTTCGAATATATATTACTAAAACATTTTCATTCAATTGTAGATGATTTATCAAATCATTTTCAATCGTACCGACAAGCACACATATTCAATGAATTTCTTGACAACATTAATAAATTCTGCGAGTAATGTTGTTTGTGTTAAAATCTTCAATGTCACTGGTATATCTGTAAGTTTAATTCGAAAACTGTCTCTATTGAACTAAATATAATCACAATTGGCTCAATGGTATCCAGAATTGTTTATCTCTAACAATCAATCACAGTCACAGATGAAAGAAATTAAAAAAAAACTTGTCATCATTATGGCAACAAGTTTGCCTATGAATCAGCCGTTTTTTTAGGTATGTCGCAGTATAGATTAAAGTTACATTGATGAGGATGAGAATACGTGTGGATGACAATGGTTCTGAATGTTCGTAAAAGAAAGATCTAGATCGTAATCAAGATTCACATAAAAATATGCGTGTCATCACTTTTCTTTCAAACTCTTTGATAACATGACAACGACAAGTTGTAAATCATATTGTATTACAAGTAACAAGGAATGTCAAACCTGTAATCGTGATGGATGTTGAAAAAGATTTTTAGACATTCTAGAAATTGGTTTTGTGTCGCACTATACCATTGAATGCAATCAGTGTTTGTATATGAATCTGAAGGTTCTATTGCTTTGACAGAAGCACTGAAAGTCAATAATGAATGTTACTATTTTATTCTTTAGAGTAATAGTGGTACATCTGGTATATCCAAATATTATCTAAAGTATTGAAATTTAATATCATAGTCTTTCAGTATTAAAGTTCCGTTTACTATTGATCAATATTGACCGGTTTTTTTTTCATATGGATTGAAGAGCATAGAGCTAAACAATATTCAAGTTGCTGATCAGACAGGTTTTCGAGCAAGTCATACACTGTAAGCGTTTATTACAAAAGTATAATGATCTACTGACAAACCTATGGATATTGAAAATGCGAATGTTCTCACTATGAAGCACTGGCGATCAACAACGTAAATTTTCTAATCTTTCTTCGAATGAACAATTCAAGAGATCTTTGTTTTTTTTTTCTCTGGTTACAGACAGAAATCGCCTTGAGAAGCAATGTCATATGTGCAGTAGGTGGTCAAGTGTTTAGCCAAAGCATTGACGATGAAGTAGATAGTTTTTCAACTCAAATTAACTCTGATCGTTAGTTTTGTCTGAATACCATTAGTGAATAGGGTAAGACAATGTATAACTCTAACGTTTCCATACATTAATCTGCGTGACAGGATGCTCTTGAACTCAACTTCTATCGTGTTAATAATGACAAATCCAAGATTCTTTTGTAAAGACAAGGATCATGTGATACAATAGTTGAATAGAGTCTCAAACTTAGAAAATCATCTCTTTATTTTACTTTATATAGCTAATAAATACTTCTTTAATTAGCAGAATCAAAACAGCTTGAATAGTAAACAGGAAAAAGAACTTTTGTCGATCAACGTTCAATTTATAAGTCAGGTACAGTTTTCCAAAATTCGTCCCATCCAATTCCCTCATGAGTCCAATTCTTTTCATTAAATGGAAACATTACATCCATAGTCATTTGAGCAATTTTCAGATATGGAATTTTTTCTTTGTCTTCTGCCAAATCGAATTTTTCTGCATAGACCAATGCTCGAATCGATTTCATTACATGTTCATCTGGATGTGTCAAAGATTTTTCAATTAAAGGTAACCATGGATTGTGAGTGTCGGAATATAAATGTTCTTTTGACACTTGATAATCATTAAATAGATAATTCAAATCTAATTTCGGTCGACCACGTGCAATGTAATAAACAAGATCAGTTGCAAATTTTGCTCTTAGAAACTTTGATTGATTTTCTTTGTTTTTAAATGAATGAACAAAAATATCTAAAAATAATGAACTGGTTGTTGCATGCATAAGAAAGAAATCAAGACGAGCTTGTTTCTTTCGACGAAGAACACCTGCATTGATGAGAATATCAGCTCTTCTTAAATCATTTAAATCACATTTCCACATTTGAGCATATTCAGCAATTAATGAACCAACATGTTCGTCTAACAATTCAGCCACTTTTGAACCAAAATCACCTTTTTTGTAAAACAATTTATTGGCAAATTGTTGATCTTGACTAATTAATTCAATGATTTCGAGAGCTGTTTTATTTCCATCTTTATTCCAATTCAAATGTTCTAAAACAGGTTGAACACTGACTCAATCTATTGATGCCATTGCTAAACCTTCAATTGCCATGAGTTTTGATTGAAATTCAAGAGCATATCCGAGATGAATAAATGAATGAAAAGCACCTGACAGGAAATGAACAAGATAATCTTTATTAAACAAGTAATCTTCGATCATTTCATCAATATTATTTTCATATTTTTTACTTTCCAATTCATTTCGAAAGAATTCCAAATAATCATGATAATAATTATCATTACCCATACATTTTTTCACATCAAATTCATCCTTTTTATGAAGAGGTTCAATGGGCATTTGTTGTTTCTTTTGTTCATTATAAATACGTTCTAATACCTTTGATGACGCACCAAAACCTAAAGCAGCTAAAAGATGATGTGAAGTATGATTATGAAAGGCATGTTCTTTATTAAAAAAGACATGATAATGTTGATGATTATCTTCAAGTAAACGAAAACAAGTATCGATCGATTGAGAAGTAACACCAGGTAAGAAATAAATCGATGGATTTTTAATTAATAAATGCGACAAATTTTGATTTTCCATCTTTATTCAACACACAAAAAAATAATATGATGAAAATGAAAGGTAAGATAAGATACAACGTTTTTATATAATCATGTGCATTAAGCATATATAAAATATGCATTGTCATGCTCTCATAGCGCTTTAATATCTATATACATAATCGATTGATCACGTGCGTACTTTTGTGCTGTTTACGTAAAGTATTTCATATTAGATTTTTCACCTACGAAGTCAATGAGATCAATTTCAAAGATTTAACTCTAAAATCTTGGAATTTGTACTTATTTTATCCAGAAAATTCTCTTAAAGGATAGAGAATGAGAGTATAAATTTTGTTTTTTCGTCATTGAGATTTTGCAAAATAGGTAATCAAGATTGAAATATGTCATTGTCTGTTTGATTCATCTATTCTCATCCTAATAAATTGAAATAACATTTCGAGATGCTCTTTCGATATACAATATACCGAATGTTTTTGTAATTAAATTTGAAATAAAAGTTTAAAAAATGGTTCATTTTTATAAATGAACATTTTAGATTGATTCAGATATATTCATATTCAGTTCGAAGATATCAATGTTCACTTCTCCTCTTCGCGCTGTGAGAATAAGACGTACCGCGTCCTCTTTCTCACCATATGTGCGATTACTGTATGTATCGTCCATAGCGCTGCGTACCTACAAACTCAATTATTCTATCAACTCTAATTAATTCAATAAAGATCAAACTACTGACACACATCAGATTACGTTTCAAACATACCACATTTATTAAACTAAGTTCCAACAACAAAACATTAGCAAAGGCATACAAAAAAGGAGTATGGCCACACGGAACTATCAAGAACGTGATCGGCGACCAAGAGAAGAAACGGAAAACGAAGCAAGAGACGACAGAAGCGAAAAAGCATTTCATGAAACGATGGAACGTCGAAGAAGATATGAACAACAATTTGATTACAGTGTGAAAAGTACAAGTAACGATTACACGGAAAACTACAGTCGAAATAAATTCAAACGGCAACTTACATCAAACTCCCACATCGAGGAATACGATACCCAAGGTCCCGATGACGACAATCAATTTACATATGTATCAAAAGGAGTCAAGCGAAGACCAATCAACCGAAAACCTAACGATAACGAAACAAGCAGAAACGACGGTAGACAACAAACTTACCAAACAAACGCCGCTACAAACATCGGCGGACGGACATTCGTAAACTCCAACAATAGAATGAATAAAAACAAAGCGAATGACGTGACTGAAACGAACTACTACATGAATAAACAACACACAACGAATTCTAAATCGAACAGAGAGAACGAAAGATCAAGCGATGCAGAGAGCGGTATCAATGACTCACCAGCAATCCAGTTGATCGAACCCCGGAAAAGCCACCAAACTAAAAATACAGAAATAAATGAGACTAACTTAATCACCCAACACGCATTACAATATGCGGTTGAACATCACCTACCACCAATCACGATTGAGTGCAACCCCAAAATCGACTCATCTGAAAAAGCAAAAGCGGTGATTAAAAATCTATGCGAACATATCGAAGAGAAGTTTCGACAAGTGAACAAAAACTGCAAGTTTCCTATCGGATTTGATTACTGGTTTATCAACAAAGATGGAAACTTGACCTGTTACACAAAACATATCGAACTATTCGTATATTTATCTGACCGAAATAATTACCCATCACAAACAAATAACATTGACATCCTACCAGTTAAACCAAACCACCTTCCACCACAAAACTCAATTGTTCTGAAATTCATTCCCAACTACATCACGAACGACGAAATACAAGATACATTGACCAAACACATGGAATCTATCTATAAAATAGAGGAAATGAAAGGTTCGAAAACAGGCAAGCACCGACATGTAAGAATCGAACTAAAATCAAGCAAAGAATATGAACAATTACTGAAAAATGGGGGTATTCCCATCGATGGACAAATCATTGAAGCTGAAGAATTCCTAGCACCACCACGTCTTCTGATCTGCAACAAATGCAATGACCCAGGACATACACGTAAAAACTGTTATGCCAAGTACGATATATGCCGCCGATGTGGAAAAGATAGAACAACCGGCGAACACAATAAATGCACAATTAAATGCCACAGATGTCAAGAAAACCACATGTCTACGGACTACAACTGTCGTGTTATGATGGAATTTAGACTGGCCTTAATACGCAAACTAAGAGAAAGACCAAATCTCTTACCCCCAAATGTAAGAATATTCATTCCAGTTGACTGTCGAGAGCAAGGAAACTTAAACAACAAAATTTTGATGAATCCACATATGAATGTAATGCCAGACAAAAACGCAGGAAACAAACAAACTACTCAAAATCGATTTGACACAAACCAATTAGCATGGCCAGCACTACCACCTGCATCAAACAGCCCAAACAACACCACATTTACAAACCAAAACTATTGGGAAGAACTAAAAAACAAAGAAGAGGAATTAAACAAGACGAAGGATGAAATGAACAAAAAACTATCTACAATCGAAGCTAAATACAACGATCACTTAAAGAAAATGAATTCAGTACTAGTATGTATGGCGCAACAAACCAAGCACCAAAACGAGAGCGTTGAGCGATGTTTCACCACTATAAATGAAATCTTACCTATACTTTCAACAACATTAGAAATCATGCGACAAGTAACCACAAAAATTCAATCAACAAATAACAGTAGCAGTGACAATAACGACATACGGGACATTCTACAACACGTCTCATTATCAATCGATTGCATCAAGGACAGAAACGAATTACTTGTAAGCAATCAAACCGCGTGCAATAAACTAATGGAACAACAAAGTCAAATTATGAACCAAGTAATCACAAACCTGATGAACAACGATGGATAACATAAACATAAATGAAAAGACGACAACGAGCAACCAAAATATAGCAAACAATAACTCATCTTACAAATGTAACGGTAAGGAAGCAAAACTCTCTTCTTATTGTTCGTATTTCTCGTACTCCTCTCCTTATATATGTTCTTCCGTGTGCGACACTGTCGACTCTGTGTGTGATAAAACTCTTTTGTGTGAAATGATAGATGAGTGGAATAAGCGTGGTTGTATCTCAAATCTATGTAAGCAATGGAAGAAGAACAGGCCCGTAAACGACAAAACGAATAATCTATTTGTTCTTCTCTTTAACGTCGAAGGTCTTAATACACATTTAGCCGACGTCGATCTGTTGCTCAAACAATATAACCCGCACATCTGTATCCTCACAGGTGTGGGAGCTGCTACAAGAAAACTACCAACATTTTTAGGTTATGTAGGTATATCGCAAACAGGAACAAACTCTTTTGGAGGAGTTGCAATCTTATACCAAAAACATGTCAAATGTAAAACTATTGATTCAGCAACGAATTTCCTTCTAATCGAAGCACAACTGCCTACGGAAACAGTAAACATTGGCGCTGTCTACGTACCACCAGGCTCCTTACCGCTATTTCAATTATTCAATAAACACGCCGAACAGTCGTTTGTCCTGTTTGGAGATTTTAACGCAAAGCACAGCACTTGGAACTGCAAAGTAAATAATACAAGCGGAGTACATATGGCTAATTGGCTAGAAGACACCGGAAATGAAATGATTATACCCAACTCGGCCACTTCTCGCAGATCTGATGCTGTCATCGACTTTGCGGTATCGAACAATGCAACAGGATGGAAGACGGAAGTCCTCCACGAAGGTACATCTGATCACTGGCCAGTACTTTTTCAATCTCCAATGCTCATAGAAGATTCGATCTCTTTCAAACTGACGAAATGGAACATATTTACTGTGTTTCTTTCCGCTACGGCTCAATACTGGAACTCATTAGTCTACAACTACGACACGGAAACATTCTTTTCCCTATTCTCTTCATTTCTACAAGCATTACAAGATAGATGTAGCTCATACAGATCTGTCAACCAATTTAGACCACCATGGCCACCGCAACTAGTCGAGCTTGCCCAAAACACAAACAAGGCACGAAGAAAATATCGAAGAACAAAGAGAAACGCACATCTCGAGCAGTTTCTTCAAGCGAGACACACTTTCACAGAAGAAAGAAACAAATACATCCAACAAAAGCGCGAAGAGAAAACAACATATGGAAACATGTCTCGCCTACCTTCCGTCCTTTCGCACCACCATTCAAAGGCATACAAACAGAATACGACAAGAAGACCGACCCTAAACAGATTGTAAATATGCTAGCTGACCATTACGAAAAGCACTTCGCCAATCCTCAACACGATACATCGAACAAGCTTCACCAGGAAGCGATAGATATCTTCGAAAACTTCAAATATCTTCCCAAAATACCACTTGAACAAATCACATACCAAGAGGTCGAACGTGAGTGGAAGAAATTCCAGCCCAAGAAATCAACCGACAGCACTGGTACGTCTGCTCTCATTCTGAAGAAACTACCGACCGAATATCTTGCAATAATTACCATACTATTCAACAAATGTGCGAAAAATGGTGACTTCTTTGACAAAGGAAAAATTGCCAAAGTGATCTGTCTCTCAAAAGATGGTCTATTTCCTACCGTCAACAAATTAAGACCTATATCGTTGCTTCCCAATCTGGCTAAATGGTTTGAACGAATCATTCACGCCCGGATCCTCAAATGGTGCAACGAGCTCAACATCGCGGTCGATGAACAGAGCGGCTTCATGCAAGGTCGAAGACTGCAAACCAGAACTCTCTCACTAATCGAAAACTTACGACTAACAACGGCAGCCTGCAACAGACCTGCGCTAGTGATCTTTGTCGACTTTGCCTCGGCGTTTGACCGGATGTGGCACCCAGCACTGATACGGAACTTAAATGAGCTTGGAATGCCTCTCCCACTTCTTAAGTGGGTGCATTCCTGGCTAACAAATCGCTGGCTCTATCTATCTTACGGAGATGAAAACTCAAGAACAATACAGATGCTGGTAGGTGCGCCTCAAGGCTCAGTTCTTGCTGCTACACTTTTCCGACTCCATATTCACTTTCTACCAGCAATCTTCAATGGTACGTCAATACACATGTTCGCGGACGACCTCGCACTCGTTCTCGACGGAGCTATTGAGAAACGTCTCTCAGACAACATTATTTATTTGGAAAAACAGGCGCGCACAAGCATGATGAAGCTGGAACAATACTCACATGAGCTAATACTACCTGTAAACGTTGCAAAAACGAAAGCTCTCCTCGTGCATAGCGCGGTCGCTCCGAGTCTACCAAAAGTACGATACCAAGACCAACAAATTGAACATGTCAACTCATTCAAATACCTAGGTGTGCACATATCAACGAAACTCGGCTGGGGAAACTACATAAACGAAAGACTGCGGAAAATAAGAAACATTTACAAAGGTTTACGACAAATTTACCAAACAATATCGACAGAGCACATCGACGTTCGTCGAAAGATATTTCTCGCCTATGCACTTCCACATTTATGCTGGCTGTTCTCAACTTGGTTCTATTTCACGGAACGTCAGCAGAGGTCAATTGAACACGTCTACTGCACAGGAATTAGATTGACATACTCGATTTATGGCTGGGACGACATTACCACATTGATATTAAGCCAGGAGAAAAGTTTGCGCGACTATCTCTACTCGTACTGGACACGCCTATGCTCACATCTCGAAAAAGCAAGTGAAGCAGTTAACTTTCAACAATCATGGAAAGCATTTCAGATACTAACTGGACATGATACGGATTGGAGAAGAAATATTGATCTAGGTAAGAACAACTGGTTTCTTACAAGACTAATTGAACGCGTACAACATTCCCTAATGGATTGGAAAGCGTTCCAAAATGAACACAAACAGCAACTAATGGCATACAAAAATGATACTCAATATCTAAACATGTTCATATACAAATATTATATACAACCGACAGAGAAAGGAACTTAGTAGCAAGAAGAAAGGAGACAAAGCACGCGATACACAACAACAAAAACGGAACCTAATCGACTCGAAATAAAGTAAAGCGATACGTACCTTACAAGGCTAAGTGATACATGGATAAGGACTGTGCACATGTTCGACCATCTCATAATTTGATAAAGCAGGTAAATAAATTAAATTAAAGTAAATTAATATAATAAAAAAAAAAAAAAAAAAATATGCAAATACAAACATTATACATGTGTCTTTCGATTGAATATTGATCTGAAACGAAAATGTGTACACATATAGTAACATATCATTGACTCATTCAGCCGATATCGAATTAACGTACTAGGACCTCCGCAATTAAAGAAAAGATGTCGTATGCAGGCCTTTGTTCTTCTTCGTTGTCGTTATATATCCCAAACCACGCTTATCTCTTCTGATTCACGTTTATATCTTTTCTTATTCATAGGAGAAGGACAAAAAAAGAGCAGCGACGTTTTATTTTTCTTTTCTTATCTATTCTTTCTCCTCCTCTCTTCCTGTCTATACTCTTTAAGTTGTACAAACCCTACTCCTTTCTAGCATCATGCGTCTTTTCTCTTTTCTCTATTCTCTCTTCTTACTCTTTCTCGTCTTCCTCCATTCTAACATTACACTTGTGAACCGTTTGATGGCACAATAAACTAAATGAAAAAAAAAAAAAAAAAAAAAAAAAAAGATATCAATGTTAATATCTGTTCTGAGCTCAATTATCAATCTGAATTATTATCTAAAAATATAAACAGAACAATCGATTATTCATATTTTCTTCTAACATATCTATTTATATGTGAAACTCTCTTTCTCTCTATTTCAAAGAAAACACTTAAAATGAACATTTATCTGTCATATACAAAATGAATTGTATAAATGGTACTGTGGTTGTCATTGAAATAGGAAGTTAATATATCTGCTCATAATTAATTGATATCATTCAGGTATTGATTATCTTATGAAATATTTCCTTGATTTTGTATTAAATGTATTGACGAATTGTTGAGTTTGTGATGAATTTATCTAAAAATGTATCAATTCAAATCAATATGAATACAGTAGACAAATTTCTGAGAAAATATCTTTTTCCAAACATTATTTATTGATTGTTGAAATTCATTTAGTTGAATGATATTTATCAATTCTACAGAGAAATTTCATTGAAATCATTTCAAACATTAAAATTCTTTACATTTAAAATGAAGTTGTACATCTAATATTTTTGTATAAAACTATCAACTCACACTTCTTTGGGAAATAGTGATCATTGTATACGTTTCAAATGATCCAAGTATTTTTTTTATTTAAAACAAAAATAGATGCAGTAGAACATTCTCTTGTGAATAAATAGTTGAATTTTCTAAATTCAATAAATTGACAAACATTGTGAACGATGTTGGAAATCGAATGTACAAAATCAAGATTATGATAAGACATCAATGAATTCAATAATATTAATGATACAACCATGGAGAAAATAGAAATAAAATTGTTGACATCTCACATCGAAATCATATTTTCATAATTTATAGAAAGTAAAATTACAAATCAATTAATTAACAGATAATTATTTCGATGAATATCTTCTAATGCAAAAGTATCGATTATGAAATAAACTAAATAAGGTTTTTAACAGAAATATTCGCTGAAATCTTTTTCATTTTACTAAATTCATATGGTTCTCGTTTACATCGAATATTTAAAGATTTCGAAAAAAAAGAATATTTGTTCTGTTCGCTTCTTTGGCAAAAAGTGAATCTTATATACGGATAGAAGCGAGAACACATTTCGTTGACTCATATCTACTCCACGATCATTCGATCGGAACGTGCAGATATCACTATGTAGTTCAAACTTTATCAATTTCTCATAAAAGCGACACTCATTTTCAACAAAACAATATCTAGACCAACAACAAAAATAGCTTGAATAAAAAAATGACTTTTATGCTTTGACAACATCAATGTTCATTATAGTAATGAAAAAAAATAGTAAACAAAATTGTTTATACAGTTTTTGTAATCAATGAGTAGCAAGTTTATAAACATCCATTGTACTCAACTCTCGAGAATAAACACGAAATTCATCTATATCTCCAACATACACATCTGATGTAATTGATCCTCGATAACACGAATTTCCATTAAGTAAATTACCCAATGTCAAAATATTAATTTCTCCTGAAGTTTTATAAGGCGTTCTACTTGTTTTACTGTAAAACATTCCATTAATATAAAGGATGAGTCCATTTTTTGATGAATAGGTAACGGCAATATGTGTCCAGACATTAATAGGTAGCAACAAACCAACTATTTCTTTTTTCTTAGAACGAACATTCCTAGCAACAATTTTACCGTTTGCTTGAAACCCTATGAGAGTAATACACGTTCCTGTTCCATTTGTTTGCGTTGAAAGATGAACAAGAACTCCTCCACTATTGGATGTTCGTTTAATCCATAAAGATATTGAATACGATCGAGTAGAAATTCTGAGTAAAACAAATCCAGAAATCTAGTTAAAACATAAAATAATGATTTAAACATTCTTTGTACCGATTCGATCAGGAACTCTATTAACAAATACCTACATTGTCTCCTGCTTTTTAATTACTAGACAGTAAGACAAAGTGAAATCTATCTCCATCAATTTCATGAATTCAAAAGAACTCCGGAACGACTAAAAACGCAATGGATTCTTGGAGTCTATTGTTTTCTAGTTGGATTTTTCTAACAAAATCAATATTATACCTGATAATATGCTGAACTTGAATTAAAATTTAATGCATAATTCACTTTGCCCGAGACTAAATTAACATTATTAGCTATTGCAGTTAATCCAAATGTACTTGAATCATTCCATGATACACTATCAAATGAATGCCATGTCATCAATGTAGCATCATCGAGAATTTCCATATCAGTTTTTGTTCGCATAGTCAATGCAACATTATCAATAAGACTAAATATATATAGACAATCAATTAGAAATTCCTCGTTCTTTTTAATTTCTAAAACTGAATTTTTTTTAGTTGGAGATATTTTAAAATGAATGAAAATGGTCTTTTGTTGTTCTTACCCATCAAAACAATGATATTTATCTTTGTAAAGAAATGTTCCAATATATATTGCGCCTTTACTTCCTAGATACAATCCATCGGAATTACGACGACAATTTTGATTTCCATTTAAATAAATATTTTGTGATTTTGATCGATAATCATAAACAAAAGCAACATGATACCAAGTATTTATTAACAACTGTGTTTGACATTGAAGATCATCATAATAAAATCCCATACGCAGATGTTTATCCCTTATTATTATATGTAGGA